CTCCTGATTTTGTTGTATAGGGATATGATTGAATTTTAGGTTATTTTTTCTACTAAATTAATTTCTGTTTTGTTTATGAATTTGTGAGGTTTCAGAATGAATCCCTATATTTTACTTGTTTTAATGGATTTCCTTGAGGTGAATGCATTTCATGCTCCATCGGCCAGAAAGGCATACGTTGCTTAAAGTGAGGGACGCCTGTACTGTATTCTAATTTCTCCCAAATTTGAGAAATAAACGTATAGGTTTGAATAATTTCTGAAGTTAGGAATTCTCTGGGAAAAAAAAGTTTTGAATTGGTATCGAAATTCTGAATTTTGGAATGATTTAAAATTTAAACTTTCTGCAATGAGTTAAATTTCTGGCTTTCAGTTTGGAATTTCTCGAATAATGAGACTGTCTAAATTCTATAGGTTATGTTTAAGTTCTGAATTTTGACCTTTTTTTCTGTGTACACAATCCCAGTGATAAAGATACAGTGTACTGTGTGTTCATAATCTTGGCTGAAAATGGTACAGATTTTTTTTTTTTGGGGGAGGGGGAGCTAAAGGAAACTTCCAACATTTTTTTTTTCACTGATTAGGTTTACTATTTGACAGCTGTTTCTAAGATATTTTAATCACTTTGACATACATATATACCTTGTAGGTATGGCATATGTGTAGTAGTACATTTTTATTTTTTGTAAACCTCTCTGTGGCAGCTTTTGGAACCATGTATAGTAATTTATATATGTAAAGGATGTGTTATATCTCAAAAAACTGTCATATAAATTGCTTTAAAATGTACTGTTTATCCTATACCTTCAAACAGTGTGTCATGTATACATGTATATATAGAGTATGTAGGAAAGAGGGAGATTATTTCCCAGGAAAAGCAGGCCTTGGGCAGGGATGTGTGATATCATTATGGTTGTTCAATATATTTATAAATGGAGTTGTAAGAGAAGTGAATGCTTGGGCATTGGCAAGAGGTGTGAGGTTAAAAGATAAAGAATCTAACACAAAGTGGAGTTGTCACAGTTGCTCTTTGCTGATGACACTTTTGGGAGATTCTGAAGAGAAGTTGCAGAGGTTGGTGGATGAGTTTGGTAAGGTATGTAAAGAAGAAAATTAAAAGTGAATAGTATAGGAATGAGTAAGTTGATGAGGATAACAAAAAAATTAGTTGACAAAAGATTAGATATCAGATTGGAAGGAGAGAGTATGGAGGTGGTGAATGTATTCAGATATGAGTAGACATGTCAGCAGATGGGTCTGTGAAAGATGAGGTGAATCATAGAATTGATGAGGGAAAAAAGGTGAGTGGTGCACTGAGGAGTCTGTGGAGACAAAGAACTTTGTCCATGGAAGCAGTGAAGGAATGTATGAGAGTATATAGGAGGAGGTGTGGGATTACTAAAACTATTATCCAAAAGGCTGAGGAGGGGTTGTTGAGGTGGTTCAAACATGTAGAGAGGACAGAAGGAAATAGAATGACTTCAAGAGTGTATAAATCTGTAGTGGAGGGAAGGCGTGGTAGGGATCGGCCTAGGAAGGGTTGGAGGGAGGGGGTAAAGGAGGTTTTGTGTGCGAGGGGCGTGGACTTCCAGCAAGCATGTGTGAGTGTGTTAGATAGGAGCGAATGGAGATATGTTTTTTAGGACTTGACGTGCTGTTGGAGTGTGAGCAAGGTAACATATATGAAGGGATTCAGGGAAACTGGCAGGCCAGACTTGAGTCCTGGAGATGGGAAGTACAGTGTCTGTACTCTGAAGGAGGTGTGTTAATGTTGCAGTTTCATAACTGTAATGTAAGCTTGCCTCTGGCAAGACAGTGATGGAGTGAATGATAATGAAAGTTTTTCTTTTTCGGACCACTCTGCCTTCATGGGGAATGGCCCATATGTTTATAAATATATAATATTATATTTTTATAATGTACATTTATGTACATACATACTCACCTATATACAGTGGACCCCCGGTTTGCGATGCTCTCGGTATCCGATAAATCCGGTATCCGATGCATCATATCGCAAAAAATTTGCCTCGGTTCCCGTTACAAAAACCCAGTATGCAATGCGATTCATACGAGATGTGTCCACGTGTGGCCTGAACTGCCCCATGTGTGCCAGTGTTTACAAGCCAGCCAGTGTGTGCGCATCTAAGGATACATTCGGTACATTCCATATTATCCATATTATCACTGTTTTTGGTGCTTGTTTCTGCAAAATGAGTCACCATGGGCCCCAAGAAAGCTTCTAGTGCCAACCCTTCGAGACCAAGGGTGCTAGACTATTGAAATGAAAAAAGAGATAATTGCAAAGTACGAAAGTGGAGTGCGTGTGTCGGAGCTGGCCAAGTTGTATAGTAAACCCCAATCAACCATCTCTACTATAGTGAGCAGGAAAACGGCAATCAAGGAAGCTGTTCTTGCAAAAGGTGCAACTGTGATTACGAAACAGCGACCGCAAGTGTTAGAAAATGTAGAGATTTCGAAGGGTTTGAGGCTAACCCTGAGAAGCCTATGCCAGTTGAGGAATCCATTGTGGCATTGGGGAAGTCCTTGGGGTTGGAGGTTAGTGGGGAGGATGTGGAAGAGTTGATGGAGGAGGAGAATGACGAACTAACCACTGATGAGCTGCTAGATCATCTTCAACAGCAAGAAGCCAGACCTGAGGAAACTGCTTCGGAGGAGGGGAGGGATAAAGTGAAGAAGTTGTCTACTTCAAAGATTAGGGAAATGTGTGCAAAGTGGCTTGAAGTGCAAAGCTTTTTTGATGAAAATCACCCTCAGACAGCTACTGCAAGCCATGTTGGCAACCTGTACAATGACTGTTGTGAACCACTTTAGGAAAGTCATAAAGGAATGAGAGGTACAGGCCTCTATGGACAGATATGTTGTGCGACAGAAGTCCAGTGACTCTCGAGCTGGTCCTAGTGGCATTGAAAGACGAAAGGAAGTAACCCCGGAAAAGGACTTGCTACCTCAAGTCCTAATGGAGGGGGATTCCCCTTCTAAACAATAGGTTCAACACTCTCCCCTCCTCCCATCTCATCAATCATCACCAGATCTTCATTAAAGGTAAGTGTCAATTATTCTTTTGTTATTATTCTATTGTTATTGTTGTTATTGTAATTATTGCATTAAACTTAATATTTCATGTGGTTAGTTTAATATGATTATTATGCACCCCATACCCATCCTGTGGGCGGTAGTCAAAAGATTACAGAGGTACATAATTGGTCCAGGGACTGGACTCCGAAGTTTTGATAGCTGAGCAAGTTACAAAGGTAATGAACTAGATCTGGTCATAATCATGACCAAGTTACAAAGGTAATAAGCTCCAGGTAGAGCTGATCACACATGAATAATTGCAAAGGTAATGAATCAAACACATTAATCATGAGAATTTACAAAGGTAATGAGCTCCAGGTAGAGCTGGTCGCAATCATGACAAGTTTCAAAGGTAATGAATGATAAACACGTTATCACATGATTACAATCATAGACAAATTACAGAGTAATGAGCAGTTAACAAACAGTAGGGAATTCATCCATTGCCCCAACAACAAATGTTGCTAGGTGCCTGTCTCTCCTCGGCAGACAGCCATTGCAAACAGCAGCAAGTTGCCCTGGGATCTGCTGCTTGCACGAGCACCATCGACCCTCCCCAAGAGGTCCAAGAAGCCAGTGACTCCGTTAGCAGCCTGATGGAGAGCTGCCCTAGGGACATGTCAGTGTCCTGGTGGACGCCAAGTTGATTGAAGATCCCAGGCCCTCGTGTGCACGGATGTTGAAGCTTGATGAACTGAGTACACACTGCCTGTGGCACACCTGACAGCTGCCTCGCGGTCGAACTCCACAATGCTGTCCCTGTAGTAGAAGTTCTTGTGAGCCCGGCACTCCCTGCAGTGCCATCGCTGACATCGTGGGTTAGGGGAGAAGTACCCTCTATAGATGGGGTGGCACTGGGAGTTGGGTGGGTGAGGCAGGGGAGACGGGCAGGGGTGAGGCGTTATGAGAGGGTCACTGTTTACTACACACGCCCTCCCCCTCCCCCCCAGCGGAGAGGGGGGGAGGCGCTGACTGGTCCTGACTCAACAACACCAAACCCTGTAAAACTGCACAACACTTCAACTATTTACGCTGAAACGATGCACTGGGATGTCCGTTCGCTGCTCTGGTATATTCTCAAAGCATTCACACTAAGTTCTGTTAAGTAGGGACCTGGTCAGCCTCTTTGACCAGGAGCTATCCTTGAAAATCTCGCAGCTAGCCCGCTACACAACTTGCCGCATCGGCCATGTTGCTCTATGTGTTTCATGTGGTAAAAGTTTTTTTTTCATACTTTTGGGTGTCTTGCACGGATTAATTTGATTTCCATTATTTCTTATGGGGAAAATTGATTCGCTTTACGATAATTTTGGTTTACGATGAGCACTCAGGAACGGATTAATATTGCGAACCGGGGGGTCCACTATATAGTTAGAGGGCCGAATCACAGCTCTTGTATGTATGTATATGTATGCATGTTTTTTTTTTTTTCTTTTTATTTATATTGTTTCTGTTTATTTACATTTTCTCTATTTATTTATTTATTTATATTTTTCTCTATGTTGTTTATTTATTTATATAATGTTTTATATAATAAGTGTAGTTTACTTTTTACCAGCATTAAAAAAAAGGATGTTAGTTCTGCTTTAAAATTTGCTCAAGTGTCTTGGAGGAGATGGGAAAGAGGAGTGAAGAAAGAGGTATTAGATATACTGTTAAGATTATTGTTAATATTCACTAAAGGTAGCAGAGAGGTTCTAGAATTGAAAGATGGAATGTGTTAGAGAAAAAATATGGAGATTATGGTAGTTATCACATCTTAAAGGGGAAAGGGACTGTGTTAATAATAATTTAATAATATTATTTATTTTGAGCAACCCATTTTCTTTTTTAGCAGTAAGTGTGCTTGTTAATTATGTTCATAAGTCTTAGTAAGTTTATGGTGTATTTATCTTTCTGCAGCATGCGGCAGAAACAGAGAAGAAACAGAATGAGGCAGAAAGCAAGAAACGTATGGGCACAGTCATCAACTATGGCATTACCATCCAGGTCAGTGCATACATATTGCCTTATCCTCTTGATTGTCAGAGAGAGTATATATTAACTTAAAAAAAAAAAAGAAGACCCAGGGGGGTACTACCGTCCTACCAAATGAGTGTGAAACGAAAGCCTGTAATTGTTTTACATGATGGTAGGATTGCTGGTGTCTTTTGTCTGTCTCATAAATATGCAGGATTACAGGTACGTCTTGCTACTTTTACTTACACTTAGGTCACACTACACATACATGTACATGTTTATTTAAACACACTCATCTGAGTTTTCTTTGATTTTATCTTAATGGTTCTTGATCTTATTACTTTTCCTTTTGTATCCATGGGGAAGTGGAATAAGAATCTTTCCTCCGTAAGCCATGAGTGTTGTAAAAGTCAACTAAAGTGCCGGGAACAATGGGCTAGTAACCCCTTTTCCTGTAATAATTACTAAAAAGAATAAGAAGAAAATTGTCAAAGTGGGAAGTCTGAATGTGTGTGGATGTTGTGCAAATGATAAGAAAGAGATGATTGTGGATGTTATGAATGAGAAGAAGCTGGATGTCCTGGCTTTAAGTGAAACAAAGCTGAAGGGGGTGGGAGAGTTTCAGTGGAGAGGAATAAATGGGATTAGGTCAGGGGTTTCAAATAGAGTTAGAGCTAAAGAAGGAGTAGCAATAATGTTGAAGGATAAGTTTATTTTTTTTTTTTTTATTATCACACCGGCCGATTCCCACCAAGGCAGGGTGGCCCGAAAAAGAAAAACTTTCACCATCATTCACTCCATCACTGTCTTGCCAGAAGGGTGCTTTACACTACAGTTTTTAAACTGCAACATTAACACCCCTCCTTCAGAGTGCAGGCACTGTACTTCCCATCTCCAGGACTCAAGTCCGGCCTGCCGGTTTCCCTGGGAGGAAAAGAGGGACTATAAATGTATTAATTCAAGGATTATGTGGAGTAAAATGAAGGTTGGATGTGAAAAGTGGGTTATAGTAAGCATATATGCATCTGGAGAAGAGAGAATTGTAGAGGAGAGAGAGATTTTGGGAAATGTTGAGTGATTGCGTGGGGAGTTTTGAACCAAGTGTGAGGGTAATGGTGGTTGGAGATTTCAATGCTAAAGTGGGCAAAAATGTTGTGGAGGGAGTAGTAGGTAAATTTGGGGTGTCAGGGGTAAATGTAAATGGGGAGCCTTTAATTGAGCTATGTGCAAAAAGAGGTTTGGTAATAAGTAATACATATTTTATGAAGAAGAGGATAAATAAATATACAACGTATGATATAGCACGTAATGAAAGTAGTTTGTTAGATTATGTATTGGTGGATAAAAGGTTGATGGGTAGGCTCCAGGATGTACATGTTTATAGAGGGGCAACTGATATATCGAATCATTATTTAGTTGTAGCTACAGTTAGAGTAAGAGGTAGATGGGAAAAGAGGAAAATGGCAACAACAAGCTAGAGGGAAGTGAAAGTGCATAAACTAAGGGAGGAGGAGGAAGTTCGGGTGAGATATAAGCAACTATTGGCAGAAAGGTGGGCTGGTGCAAGTATGAGTAGTGGGGGGGTTGAAGAGGGTTGGAATAGTTTTAAAAATGCAGTATTAGAATGTGGGGCAAAAGTTTGTGGTCACATGAGGGTGGGTGCAGGAGGAATGAGGAGTGATTGGTGGAATGATGAAGTAAAGAGTGTGATAAAAGAGAAAAAGTTAGCTTATGAGAGGTTTTTACAAAGCAGAAGTGTTATAAGAAGAGTAGAGTATGTGGTGAGTAAAAGAAAGGTGAAGAGAGTGGTGAGAGAGTGCAAAAGGAGAGCAGATGATAGTGGGAGAGGCACTGTCAAGAAATTTTAATGAAAATAAGAAAAAGTGTTGGAGTTAAACAAGTTAAGAAAGCCTAGAGAATAAATGGATTTGTCAGTTAAAAACAGAGAAGGGAAGTTGGTAGATTGGGAGATGGAGGTTTTGGGTAGATGGCGAGAATATTTTGAGGAACTTTTAAATGTCGACGAAGAAAGGGAAGCGGTAATTTCATGCACTGGTCAGGGAGGTATACCATCTTTTAGGAGTGAAGAAGAACAGGATGTGAGTGTGGGGGAGGTGCGTGAGGCATTACGTAGAATGAAAGGGGGTAAAGCAGCTGGAACTGACGGGATCATGACAGAAATGTTAAAAGCAGTGGGGGATATAGTGTTGGAGTGGTTGGTATTTTTGTTTAACAAATGTATGAAAGAGGGGAAGGTACCTAGGGATTGGCAGAGAGCATGTATAGTCCCTTTATATAAAGGGAAGGGGGACAAAAGAGATTGTAAAATTTAGAGGAATAAGTTTACCGAGTATACCAGGAAAAGTGTACGGTAGGGTTATAATTGAAAGAATTAGAGGTAAGACAGAATGTAGGATTGCAGATGAGCAAGGAGGTTTCAGAGTGGGTAGGGGATGTGTAGATCAAGTGTTTACATTGAAGCATATATGTGAACAGTATTTAGATAAAGGTAGGGAAGTTTTTATTGCATTTATGGATTTAGAAAAGGCATATGATAGAGTGGATAGGGGAGCAATGTGGCAGATGTTGCGAGTATGTGGAATAGGTGGTAAGTTACTATATGCAGTAGAGTTTTTATGAGCATAGTGAGGCTCAGGTTAGGGTGTGTAGAAGAGAGGGAGACTACTTCCCGGTATAAGTAGGTCTTGGGGATGTGTAATGTCACCATGGTTGTTTAACTCTCCACAAAAGTCATTATATTAGACCTTTGTGCAATTATTTGATTACCACTTTATTGTTCACCACAACTTATATTAGTCCCTTTTATATTATAATTTTATATTATAATTCTAACTTTAAAGAATTACCTTTAAAGTACTACCTATCATATTCCCAAGCTCCATTATTTGATCATCACTTTATTTGTTCACCACAAATTATTTTAGTCCCTTTTATATTGTCTCCTTTATTTTAGTTTTAAAAAACTACCTTAGCTCATTATTTTTACATTTGTTAAATAATTCAGGTGCTATTTTTTTTAGCTTTAGAATACTTACTTTATTTTTTACTTAATTCTAACTATAGATTCACTACAAATCTTATGATTACAAGCATTTATCCTGATACCAACCTCTTATTTAATGACTTAAATGATTCAAACAGTTACTGTAATTACTACACAGCCGAACAATCAAAGGCACTTCTCAGAGCTAACAACAACATAACTATCTTTAACTACAATATCAGATCTTTAAGCAAGCATTATGATGACCTCCTAGCATTACTAAATTCCTTGCATGCCAATATGTCCATCATTACACTAACTGAAACCTGGCTAAAACCTGATACTACAGATGTCTATGCCATTCCTGGTTACACAGCCATACACAACTGTAGGCCAGACCAACAAGGGGGTGGCACTGCTATATACTACTCAGACCAACTAGAATGTATCACTAATACTTGCACAAGGGATGAACATGGGGAATATATAATAGCTAAATTCAAATCCAAATACTACCTACAAAAACCTCTCACAGTGATAAACATCTACAGAGTTCCACAATCAAACATTAGCCAATTTAGTCAAAACCTAGGAAGTATGATAACTGATGCATGCATGAACAAAGATCACTTACTACTCTCAGGTGACTTCAATATAAATCTCCTGCAAGACCAGGACCCACACGTTACTGAATTCACAAACACAATGAGTAACTGCATGTTGCTACCAACAGTAACAAAACCTACAAGAGTTACAGAGACTAGTGTTTCCCTACTTGACCACATCTGGACCAACACCATATCCCCTTTAAAATCAGGCATAATTACAGATAATACCACAGACCACTACCCTACTTTCCTCATAACAACTCTTGGTAAAATACCCCAAGACACTACTAAAGTCACCCTCAGACTTCACAATGAGGCAGCCATTAATAACTTCACAACAGCAGTAACAAACATTGACTGGCACACTGAGCTAGAAATCTATACAGATATTGACGAATGTTTTAATAATTTTCTAAAAAAGACCCAATACCTTTATAACAAGCACTGCCCTAAAAAAACTAAACAGATGACAGCTAAGAGACTGAACAGTCCCTGGCTAACACCCAGCATTCTCAAATCCATAAATACAAAACACCGATATGAAAAACAGTACAGAATGGGTCACATAACCAGAGACCAAACAAAACGTTACTCGTCAATCCTAACCAGCCTGATAAGAAGGGCAAAAAATTGTATTATGAGAACAGATTATCCAACTTACGAGGTGATATAAAAAAGGCCTGGAAGACCCTATCAGAAATTCTGGGAACAAAAAAGATATCACGACATAGCGAAATAAAATTAGCAAAATTAGATGAACCCCAACTCCCACCAACAGAAACAGCAAACAATAAAATCCCAAGCTCAGATACCCCACCAAATGACTACCTCACTGGCAACTACCCGAACACACTGTTCCTAGCTCCGACTAACCCATACGAAGTCTCCCTTATTATCAACGCACTGAAAAACAAGGCAGGAGATTTAAATACCTTACCACCCTTTATATACAAAAAAGCGTCACAAGTACTATCACCAATCATTGCAACACTCTTTAACAAATCCATTGAATCCTCCACCTTCCCTACAGTTCTCAAAATAGCAAGGGTCACCCCGATCCATAAAGGAGGAGACCAAACAGAGTTGAATAACTATAGGCCAATATCCAATTTACACCCTCTCTCAAAAATCTTCGAAAAATTAATTCATAAACGAATCTACTCCTACCTCATCTCCCAAAACATTCTCAACCCCTGCCAATTTGGATTCAGGCCTAATAAAAATACTAATGATGCTATTATACACATGCTAGAACATATATACACTGCAATAGAGAAAAAAGAAGTCCCACTGGGGATCTTCATTGACTTACGTAAAGCTTTTGATACAGTTGACCGTGACTTGCTCCATGTAAAATTGTCACACTATGGTATTAGAGGGCACTCCCTCAACTACCTCAAGTCTTACCTCGGCAACAGAAGCCAATATGTGTACGCAAATGGGGCAAGCTCTTCCGCACAACCAATTACAGTTGGTGTCCCACAGGGAAGTGTCCTTGGCCCTCTTCTCTTTCTCCTATACATAAATGACCTACCAAATGCTTCGCAATTACTCAAACCCACACTTTTTGCAGATGACACTACATACGTCTTCTCTCACCCGAGCCCAGTCACGCTAGCCAATACTGTAAACACCGAATTACAGAAAATATCTACCTGGATGAGGACTAACAAACTTACATTAAACATTGACAAAACCTACTTCATTCGGTTTGGTAACAGAGCTACAGATGTCCCTCTTAACATAACGATAAACAGATCACCTATCACAAAGCTAACAGAGGGAAAATTCTTAGGAATCCACCTCGATAATAGACTCAAATTTCATACACATATACAACAAATTTCTAAGAAAATTTCCAAGACTGTAGGCATACTATCGAAGATACGGTACTACGTTCCACAGTCAGCCCTCCTGGCCCTTTATCACTCTCTTATTTACCCCTATCTTACCTATGAAATTTGTGCATGGGGCTCAACAACAATTAACCATCTCAGACCACTAATTACCCAACAAAAGACTGCAGTTAGAATGATAACAAATTCTCACTACAGGCAGCACACTCCACCAATATTCAAAACACTCAACCTACTCACCATACAAAACATCCATACTTATTACTGCACCTATTACATACATAGAACACTTAACTCTGATATTAACCCTCCCCTCAAACATCTCCTTGCCAACCTCAACAGAACACATGACCATAACACAAGGCACAGATCACTCTTTGATGTTCCTCGCGTCCATCTCACACTATGCAAAAACTCAATGCACATAAAAGGCCCTAAAATCTGGAATTCATTACCTGTAAATATAAAAGAAACACTACCTGTTTATAAATTCAAGTCTATTCTCAAAGATCACTTACTCACTCAAAACCAAATAAATACTGAATAATTGAACCTTATAAATTGTATATCCTATATGTTACTCACAATTATATCACATAAATGTTAAACCTAGGACCCAATCTAACTTTATTATTTTTTAAATACACTACCTAACAGAATACTCCATTCGACTGAATGTACAACAATGCAAGCAACCATATGACCTGTCTTTGTGATACTCATTTGTGCTTTATAGTAATCTGTTTACATTAATGTTTTATCACTGATTTCATCATTGCTTAGTTAATCTTAAGTTAATTTTAAGCCAGCCCGTAATGCTATGCATGTAAGTGGCTTTGGCATGCTGCTCTTACCTATATTTTTTGTACCTCTGTTTGTATGCTAAATATATTTATAGATGGTGTTGTAAAAGGAGTAAATGCTAGGGTGTTCGTTAGAGGGGTGGGATTAAATTATGGGGAATCAAATACAAAATGGAAATTGACACAGTTACTTTTTGCTGGTGATACTGTGCTCATGGGAGAGTTTAAAGAAAAATTGCGAAGGTTAGTGGATGAGCTTGGGAGTGTGTGTAAAGATAGAAAGTTGAAAGTGAACATAGAAAAGAGTAAGGTGATGAGGGTATCAGATGATTTAGATAAAGAAAAATTTGATATCAAATTGGGGAGGAGGAGTATGGAAGAAGTGAATGTTTTCAGATACTTGGGAGTTGACGTGTCGGCGGATGGATTTATGAAGGATGAGGTTAATCATAGAATTGATGAGGGAAAACAGGTGAGTGGTGCATTTAGGTATATGTGGAGTCAAAAAACGTTAGCTATGGGGGCAAAGAAGGGAATGTATGAAAGTATAGTAGTACCAACACTCTTATATTGGGTGCGAAGCTTGGGTTGTAAATGCAGCAGCGAGGAGGCGGTTAGAGGCAGTGGAGATGTCCTGTCTAAGGGCAACGTGTGGTGTAAATATTATGCAGAAAATTCGGAGTGTGGAAATTAGGAGAAGGTGTGGAGTTAATAAAAGTATTAGTCAGAGGGCTGAAGAGGGGTTGTTGAGGTGGTTTGGTCATTTAGAGAGAATGGATCAAAGTAGAATGACATGGAGAGCATTTAAATCTCTAGGAGAAGGAAGGTGGGGTAGGGGTCGTCCTCGAAAAGGTTGGAAGGAAGGGTAAGGGAGGTTTTGTGGGCGAGGGGCTTGGACTTCCAGCAGGCGTGCATTAGCGTGTTCGATAGGAGTGAATGGAGACGAATGGTACTTGGGACCTGACGATCTGTTGGAGTGTGAGCAGGGCAATATTTAGTGAAGGGATTCAGGGAAACCGGTTATTTTTATATAGCCGGACTTGAGTCCTGGAAATGGGAAGTACAATGCCTGCACTCTAAAGGAGGGGTTCGGGATATTAGCAGTTTGGAGGGATATGTTGTGTATCTTTATACGTATATACTTCTAAACTGTTGTGTTCTGAGCACCTCTGCAAAAACAGTGATTATGTGTGAGTGAGGTGAAAGTGTTGAATGAAGATGAAAGTATTTTCTTTTTGGGGATTTTCTTTCTTTTTGGGTCACCCTGCCTCAGTGGGAGACGGCCGGCTTGTTGAAAAAAAAAAAAATAATTTCTTGTACTTATTATGTCTGGGTTCTCTTGTAGCTCTCCAGATAGAATTTAAGCTCTGGGTTAATGTTTGAATTGAATGCCCTGTAGATATTATATACACAGTAGAAAGTGTGACTATTTGGCACATTAAGCAAATTTTAACTTCTGATAAAGGGGAGTGTGTGTTGCCTGGAATCTGAATCAGTAATTATTCTGAGAGGTGTTTTTTGCTGAGTAACAGTAGGTTTAGGGTTATTAGCTATTGTTATTCCCTATGCACAGATACTGTAGATGATGTATTGATAGATTAGAGAGAGTACAAAGTGAGCAAGGATGTTTGGGGGATATAATAGTGTATTTATGTGAGACTGCCCACTGTTTAAGAAATGTTCTTGGTGCGTGAAATGAATTTTAGTTTGCTGTCAAGGTGATTTCCAAGAATTTACCCTCGTTTTACCTATTGATTGGTGTATTGTTTATCTTCATGCTAAAATGGAATTTTTTCTTTTTGTTCCCAAACATTATATAGAAGGTCTTGTCAATACTGAGTGTGAGCTTGTAATCCAAATAGATATTATGGTAATTCCTATTTTATTGCTGTTAGTACTAATAATGTAATTAACATTTTGTATTGTTTGCAGTTGCTGCACCTCAAGTCCAACAAGTATCTGACAGTCAACAAACGGCTTCCAGCACTACTTGAGAAGAATGCCATGAGGGTATATCTGGATGCTAATGGAAATGAAGGGTCTTGGTTTTACATTAACCCATATTACAAGCTGCGTAACTCCGGTGACACTGTAGTGGTGGGAGACAAGGTCATCCTCAACCCACTGAATGCTGGGCAGCAGTTGCATGTATCAAGTATGCACGATCTGCGTGATCATCCAGGGTGCAAGGAGGTATTGTTGGCCCAGAAATAGATTTAATGCAGCTGTTTCCTTAGGAGCAGCCATGGTATTAATTTGAAAGTGATAATAATTAATCTAATTGATTGTTTTGTAAGATAAATCATGAAATAATTGTTTTGTAAGATAAATCATGAAATAAGTCAGAATTATATTAACTAATTATGATAATTAAATTGATAAGTGGATGTAGAAAAGAGCAAGGTGATGAGGGTAATAAAAAATGTCTGAGAAATGATAGAATATCAGATTGGAGGGAAGGAGGGAATATGGAGGAAGTGGATGTATTAAGATATTTAGGAGTGAACATGTCAGCACATGGGTCTGTGAAAGATAAGGTTAACCATAGTTGAGGTGGGGGGGAGAAGAAAGAAAGGTGAGTGGCGTGTTGAAGTATCCGTGGAAAGAAAGAAGCTTATCGTTGGAAGCAGATATGAGAATGTACAAGAATATAGTGGCGCCAACACTTTTGTATTGGTGTGAGGTATGGATTTTGAATGTTGCAGGAAAAAGGAGGCTAGAGGCAGGGAAGATGTCATTTTTGAGGACAGTGTTTGGAGTGAATATTGTTCAAAGAATTTGGTGCATAGAAATTAAAAGGCGATTTGGAATAACCAAGGTTATAATTCCAAGGGTTGAGGTGGTTTGTGAATGTTGGAAGGATGGAAAGGGAAATATTGATGAATAGGGTGTCAAAATCTGGGGTGGAAGGTAGGAGGGGTAAGGCTCATCCCAGGAATGATTGGAGGGAAATGATGAAAGGGGCTTCGAGTTTTACTGGCATGTATGAGCATGTTAGCGACTCAAGTCCAGCTTGCTTGTGTCCATGAATCCCTTCATTAATGTTACTCTGCTCACACTCCAACAGCACGTCAAGTCACAGAAACCATTTGTCTCCACTCCTAACACACACACACACACACACACACACACCCCACACACACACACACACACACACACACACACACACACACACACACACACACACACACACACACACACACACACACACACACACACACACACCACACACACACACACACACACACACACACACACACACACACCACACCCTCACACCTCACACTCACACTTGCTGGAAGTCCAAGCTCCTCACACACAAAACCTCCTTTACCCCCTCATTCCAACCTATCCTAGGTCAATCCCTAACCCAACTTCCTTCCACTACAGATTTATACACTTTCCTAGTCATTTTATTCCATTCCATCTTTTATGATCAATAAAAAATATTTGGAAGAAACTGGGTAAAATCATAAAAAATGTTAAAACCCAGTAACTTCCTTCATGTGGCAAGCATTCATGTCATGCTAAAATGATTACCAATGTCACCTTCAAACTTTCTTTAATCTGTAAGCATTAATAAGATTTCACTCAGTCTCATCTTATTGCACTTCTAAAATCAAGAAAAAATTTTTTGGGTAAGATAAAATAATTTTTTATTTTTTCAATTTTTGGCACAGAGGGTACATTTATTTTAAGACCCTTTTTTAATAAGCTTCATGGAGTACTTGAGGCATATTACAAGTAATTCTACACAAGTTTGGTGACATAGTGTAATCAAATTTCATTATTCCTATGTGGTAATAAGTTATACAGTATTAATATTTTCATTTAATGTAATTCTTACATTTCGTTTGACAGGTTAATGTCTTAAATTCAAATACATGCTGGAAGATATCATTATTTTTGGAACATAAGGAGAATCTGGAAGGAATATTAAAAGGTGGCGATGTGATACGTCTCTTCCATGCAGAGCAAGAGAAATTTCTCACAATGGATGAATATAAGAAGAAGCAACATGTATTTCTCAGGACAACTGGAAGGACTACTGCCACTGCAGCAACTTCCAGCAAGGCACTATGGGAAGTTGAGGTTAGTCACCTCTCATAACTAACCCTTAATCAGATATGGAAAATGGGTACCATTTCAGTCCATCCTGGACCATCATCAAATAAGTATAATGTCCAAATGGATTGAAACATCACTAAGTTTTAACTTCCAGTGTGTGCATTATTTTTCAATTTATCTGTCTTCAACATTGTACAGCTAAGTTATTGATCATTTTCTCAAAAACTAAGAAGCCCACTAAATTATAAATCAACAAAAACCAATATTTATTAATATTCACACTCTAGTTTTATCAAAAAGCTTAAAGGTGTTATTTACTTAACATATGAAATTTTTAAAGATCTACCACTGGGTGAGTAGCTTCAAACTCATGGATGGCATTAACCTATTTCTGAACTGTCACATCTGAGCACCTCTGCGCCTCTGCAAAGACAGTGATTATGTGTGAATGATGGTGCAAGTGTTGAATGATGGTGAAAGTGTTTCTTTCCCGTTTGGGTCCCCCTGCCTTGGTGGGAGACAGCCAACGAGTTGAAACAAAAAAAAAAGCTGTCTCTTATTAATTAAACAACTTCAGTCATTTGTAAGTAGCTAAGGCTTAAAAATGTGCATGTGTAAGTGATGAATGTGAAATAATTATGTATGAGAAATTGCTCTTATATTATTATTTTTTTATATAATCTTTATATACTCCTCCCCCTATCCCCCCCAGGTCGTACAACATGATCCAACTCGAGGTGGAGCAGGTCACTGGAATTCCTTATTTCGCTTCAAACACCTAGCCACTGGACATTACCTGGCTGCTGAAGTTGATGATGACCCAACTCATGATCCTACGAGAGCAAAGCTTAGAGGTAAACTTTCTCAGTAATTTTAGTAATAATTTTGGAAAACAACAAAATTAATGAAGGCAAATTATGCAATGTACCTAAACATAAAGATAAAAAAAAAGAGGTTTTTGACTGCCAGGGACTGGAGCATCCAGCGGGGTTGTGTGAAGTATATTAGATGTATACAAGTGGAGACAGGTGGCTTTTATGGCTTGACATACTGTTGAGTGTGAGCAGGGTAACATTTCTGAAGGGATACAGAAGAAACCAGTAAGTGGAATTAGGACCCTGGAGGTGGAAAGCACTGTGCTTGCACTCTGAAGGGAAGGGTGGGGATATTTCAGTTTGTACTATGATGCTTGCACACTTCTGGCAAGACAGCTATTAAATAAGTGATGTGGAATTTGTTTACCTTTTATGGATCACTCTGTCATGATGGGAAATGGCCAGAATGTTAAATAAAAGGTAAATAAAGATAAAACAAAGTGATGCACTGTACACTGAAAGCCAGACAAAATATCTCTTTAAATTTTAAAATAATTTTTCCTTTTGGAATAAAAAGCTTTTATTTGCTTCTTTAAATGCAAGTGTTTCGGGAGCAGTTGTGAGAAGAAGAAGAAATTGACATATTTACTTTCATATTAAACTGAACTCAAGAAGAAATAGCTATGAGAGGATATCTTATGCTAGGGATTATGTAACTCTTAGATGAAATATTTTTTGATCAAAGGCTGTATAACTCAGTAGCTAGTTATAAAAATATCATTGGTAATAGATGACCACATATTGTATTCCATGGTAAACAGAGTGCTTTCCCTCTGTAGAAAAAGTTTGCTGCATCACCTTTACTTTGGGAAGTAAATATCACTGCCATTTCCCTTTTCTTTGCCTGTAAAATCTGATATGATTTTTCAAATTTATTCAAATTGATCTTTTGATGACCACATGGTCATATCCAAATTCCACTCTCACTCACCACACACTGCCACCCTCCACTCTCACTCACCACACACTGCCACCCTCCACTCCCACTCACCACACACTGCCACCCTCCACTCCCACTCACCACACACTTAATCATTATTTATATTTATCAAAAATCAGATATTATGGAATCAACTACATGTAATACAACACATAAATTCTGTAATGTAGATTGAACATTAAAATGGTATAAAATACCGACAGGTTGTTAGGTATCTGTAATGTAGGTTGATGGATCTCCATGGGGAAGTGGAACAAAATTCTTCCCCCGTAAGCCATGTGTGTAGTAAGAGGCAACTAAAATGCCAGAAGCAAGGGGATAGTAACTCCTATTCCTGTATGTATTACTAAATTTAAAAAGCAAAACTTTTGTTTTTCTTTTTGGGCCACCTTGCCTCAATGGGATATGGCTGATTTGTTGAAAGAAGGTTGATGGGTGTGGCCCCATCCTAAGCTAGACAAAAGGACCTTGCTAGGATGAGACTAGTACTTCCACTACTCCACATTTTGATTAATGGTTCTAAGCTTGTTTCCAAGTTGAAAATTCCACTGCTCCTGTCATAGCTAAATAATGTAAGAGCTATTAATTACTGTATAGCAAGGGATAAGCTATCGGATCTCTTTAGGAAGCACCTTTTGCTTCTGTATTGGCACTTATTTTCCTGGATGCCAGCATGGCTGAAGAACTGATTAAAAGTAATAAAATTATACCTTGCAATAAATTGAATAATCATTATTGGATTTTTCACAAATTTTGATAGTACAAATGCAGTACAGTAGAGATGATTTGTGAATTCCTTGTTAGATTGGGTTGAGCAGAGATAATTGGTTTTAGGGTTTAGACATGTTCAAATGTGAGCAAGTAACACAAAGGAATTCAGGGAAACCAATTAGCTGGATTTTAATCCTGGAAGTAGAGAGCACAGTGCTTGCTCTTGGAAAGAGGGAAAGGAGGTAATAAATTTAGAGGGTTGTTCAAGTTGTGATGTCTGTATACTTCAGGCAAGAAGCTGTTGAATGAGTGATGGAGTTTTTTTTTTTTTTTTAGGGGGTCACCCTTCCTTGGTGGGAGATGGCTGATGGGTTAAGAAAAAAGGTATAGTACCGTATAGGGTTCTTCCATTTAGGAAGAATTGGCTGTTCAGTGTGGGTGCAAGTGTGCACTGAAAAAGTCTGCTGTATACTGACTGGCATTCATTTAAGATAATTTTCATGGGTTTTTTGTGTAAGGGCAATGCCTGACAGCACGTACTATTAAGATGGCTGGGATCCAAAGTGACTCTGTACATTAGTGACAAACTGGATAAAAGCAGTGAGACCTGATTGTGTGAATAAATAGAAGCCAAACACACTTACAACCCAAATAGACATGAAACGTTAATTCACTGTAAGGCGTAGTGGGTGAAATACTATACACAAGTAGAGGAGGTACTGAAGGCAGACTCCATATATTTGCATGAAAAAAAGCCTTAGGATTTAGATTGCATCATACCTGTCAATTAATAGTTACAAGGCAGGGCCCAGGAGCTGTAGTGTGATCCTGCAAATACAGTATAGTGTGTGTGTATGTAGTAACACCTTTATTTTATTTATTTATTTACTTACATTTTTGCAACATTTTTAATGTGGAAGCTACCATTGAAGTAGGTATTTCTTGTCATGCTTTTCTCCCAACGAACAACATTGTCCCTTTCTAGAGCAAATATTGAAGCAACAGTCAATAGACTCTGGGAGTTCGGACGGCCGGAGGAGAAAGACTGGGTTATGGAGGGGATCAGCAGGTATTGTTATTTGTGTAAAACATTGATCAGTGCTTGCATCATTTACATGCTTTAACAAGATTGTGGTGTGGCTGTCACTCGTAAGAGTGACGTATGTAGGTGCCAATATATGCAAGGTGAAATTACAATACTTTGACATTAAACAGATTGAGGGTTGATCTCATTCCTCTGTAGATGATGAATGTTATATTGATTAATAATGTTATAGTTTTTAAGTTATGTATAAGAAACAAGATTATCCCTCATTGATTACACAGTAAACTTGTGTACAGAATAACTATGAATTCATATTTACAAATACCTTGCTTTTCATGTATATACATATCAGTGATCCATTAGCCACAATCGCTTTAGTGTCAGTAATAAGATAAATAACCTTCATGTTATGCATGGTAGACAGTTGGTCTTCAAGTGACCACACTTTACCTGAAGAACACACGACTCCTTCAACTCTTTTAATGCTTTAATACTATTGCTTTATATTACTTGAAGCAGACATATTAAGAGAAGATGTGTCCTTTGGCAAACCTCTTTGATTTGTTTACCAGGTATTAGGTGTATGTTATTGAGTGTACAGTGTACACAGATGACAAAATGGATTTTTTTTTTTAATATTTTGCAAAGTTCTCGAGAATACTATGGCAGGTACAATTTGTATGATTATGATTCATGGAAATATTTATATTGCAAAACTTTAAACTGTCCTGTAAATTGAATTTTTTTTGCATTAGCTGCATAGTCCAGCTTTTCAGGCATTAAATGAAGATTTAAAGCCACTATCTTAGTCTGTAATTATGATTGCAACATTATTTTCTTTTGTATTACTTTATGGATTTTTATTTTAACACTTCCCATAACATCCTTTATGAGTGAGGAAGAGTCAGATTTGAGTGTGGGGAAGTGCATGAGGCAGGTAGTAAAATGAAAGGGGGTGAAGCAGCTGGGATTGATGGGATCGTGACAGAAATGTCAAAGGCAGGTAGGGATATAATTTTGGAGTGGTTGGTTCTTTTTTCAATAAATGTATGGAAGAGGGGATGGTACCAAGGGATTGGCAGAGAAGATGCATAATTTCTTTGTATAAAGAAAAGGGGGAACAAGAGAAACAGTAAAAATTATAGGGAAATAAGCCTGTTGAATATATCATGTGAAGTGAAGTGTATGGTAGAGTTAAGGGTAAGACAGAGAGCAGAATTGCAGATGAACAAGGAGGCTTCTGTAAAGATAGGGGATGTGTAGACCAAGTGTTTACATTGAAACATATAAGTTGGGAAGAGGTGTGGGATTAAAATACATAGAATCTAATACAAAATGGAAGTTGTCACAGTTTCTTTTTGATGATGATGCTGTGCTTTTGGGAGATTCTGAAGAGAAGTTGCAAATGTTGATGCAGGAATTTGGGAGGGTATGTAAAGGAAGGAAATTGAAAGTGAACATAGGATGAGGGTAACAAATGAGTTAGATAATGAAAGATTGGATATCACATTGGGAGGATGGAATATAGAGGAAATGAATGTGCAGTTATTTGGGAGTAGAGTTCTTGGTGGATGGGAAGGTGGAGTAGGGATCACCCTAGGAAAGGTTGGAGGGAGGGGGTAAAGGAGGTTTTGTGTGTGAGGGGCTTGGACATTCTGCAGGTGTCTGTTAAATAGTAGTGGAGGCAAATAATTTTTAGGACTTGGCGAGTTTTTACAGTGTGAGTAATGTAACATTTTGTGAAGGGATTTAGGTAAACTAGCTAGCTAGACTTGATTCCTGGAGATGGGAAGAACAGTACAGTGGACCCCCGGATAACGATCAGCTCCCAACTCGACCAATTATGTAAGTTTATTTTTGTAAGTGCTTTTGTAGGTGTATTTTTAGGGGTCTGAAATGGACTAATCTAATTCACAATATTTCTTATGGGAACAAATTCAGTCTATAACGGCACCCAAACAGACTTCTGGATTGAAATAATATCGTTAGGCGGGGGTCCACTGTACCTGCAATCTGAAGGAGGGGTAGGGATATTTACAGTTTGGAGGGGCACCTGAACTGTAGTATCTGCCTCTGGGCAGAAAATGATGGAGTCAGTGATGGTGAAAGTGTTTCGTTTTTTTTTGGGTCACCCTACATCAGTGGAGACAGCCAGTATATTAAAAAATAATAATAATAATAGCTCTTTACCATCTGAGTACTGCTCACTTATATACGTACTTCTCTGTAAACACTTGGAGATCAAGTGTTTACATTGAAAAATACAAGTGAGCAGTACACTGGTACCTTGACTTATGAGTGCCCCAACTCATGAGTTATCAGAGTTACGAGCCATCGCTTGGTCAGTTTTTTGCTTTGAGTTGCAAGCCAAAATACGAGTTATGAGCGAGCTCCAGATACACTGCCACTGATTGGAGGCATATCTGAAGTCAAATCCAACTCTGTACTCAGAGGAATGTCAGGTACTTTGTCTCATCCCACATGCTCTTCCAAGACATAAGTGGAAGTATAATATTCCCACACTAACCCCATATTGTAGTGAGGTACCTTGTCTCTTGTTTGGTTCTCATATAAATCCAAGGAAGAGGTAACCTCCATTTCAACACTCAGAGTTTGTCCAGAAACATTACTTATGGTGGGTGGAGTACTGATAGTGGTGGGTGGAGTGGTGATGGTGGTCGGTGGAGTAGTGATGGTGGTCGGTGGAGTAGTGATGGTGGTGGGTGGAGTACTGATAGTGGTGGGTGGAGTAGTGATGGTGGTCGGTGGAGTAGTGATTGTGGTGGGTGGAGTACTGATGGTGGTGGGTGGAGCACTGATAGTTGTGGGTGGAGTAGTGATGGTGGTCGGTGGAGTAGTGATAGTGGTGGGTAGAGTAGTGATGGTGGTCGGTGGAGTAGTGATGGTGGTTGGTGGAGTAGTGATGGTGGTTGGTGGAGTAGTGATAGTGGTGGGTGGAGTAGTGATGGTGGTTGGTGGAGTAGTGATGGTGGGTGGAGTAGTGATGGTGGTGGGTGGAGTACTGATAGTGGTGGGTGGAGTAGTGATAGGGGTGGTGGAGTAGTGATGGTGGTGGGTGGAGAAGTGATGGTAGTGGATGAAGTATGATAATGGTGGGTCGAGAACAATGGTAGTGGGTGGAGTAATGGTGGTGGGTGTAGTAGAGAACATGGTGGGTGGAGTAGTGAGGGTGGTGGATGAAGTAGTGATAATGGTGGGGGGAAAGATATGGTGGTGGGTGTAGTAAAGAGGGTGTGATGGGTGGAATAGTGGTGGTGTGGCGGGTGGAGTATACAATATTTCTTATTTATAAATAAATACATTTTTCTTATTTAAAAAGATAAAAAAATAGGGGTGTTTTTTGGGGGGCTGGACTGAATTAATGACATTACAATTAATTTCAATGAGGAAAATTGATTTGATATACGAGCAAATTGAGTTACGAGCTTGGCCACAGAATGAATTAACTCTTTGACTGTTTCAGTCGTATATATACGTCTTATGAACCACCGTGTTTGACGTATATATACTCAAAAATTCTAGCGGCTTCAAATCAAGCAAGAGAAAGCTGGTAGGCCCATATGTGAGAGAATGGGTCTGTGTGGTCAGTGTGTACCATATAAAAAAATCCTGCAGCACTCGGTGCATAATGAGAAGAAAAAAACTCCGACCATCTTTTTTTGGATTAAAACGCCAACTTTGTGGTGTATTTTCATATAGTATTTATGGTTGTATTCTCGTTTTTTTGGTCTCTTTTGATAGAATGGAAAACATATTATAGAAATAAAAGTGATTTTGATTAGTTTTACTATGAAAAGAACCTTGAAATGGAGCTCAAAGTAGGGAAAATGTTTGATTATTGCCGATGTTCAAAAGTACACAAATGATGTCATTGTCCAATAAATGTCCAACTAGCCATTCTAATATGCAGTCACAAATGGGTTGACATTATTTATACAATTATTACAATATTGCAGTAGTCTGCATAACAGTAAATCTTCTGTTTTTTTGTTTGAATAAAAATTCAAAATAGAATGCAAGAGTAATATCAGAGGGGCCTGGAGATGTGACTGATGAAGAAAGAAAATGTTATTTTTGAGCCAGGAATGTCTGCATTGTTCATTCTGGACCCTATTTTGAAATTGGCATATTTTTTAACCCTTTGAACAATGGAATTAGCCAAAAATAGGGCTCAAAGTGGGCGAAATCACCGATTTGTAAATATTGCCGAGGTCACTAACTTCGTGAGAGTGTAATTCCGTCAGTTTTCCATCAAATTTCGTTCTTTTGGTGTCGTTACAATCGGGAAAAGATTCTCTATTATTTCATGAGAAAAAATATTTTTTTTATGGAATTTTGTGACACCAGGAGACACCTCACGATTGGGGGTTACAACAGTCAAGGGGTAGAACTTATCAACAGTAAAATTCTTAAAAAAAAAAATTCTATACAAACTTTCTTAAGTAGACTCAAAAAAGCTTGTATAGTTAAACCCTGTCTGTAAAAAAAAAAAAAACAATCTCTGCCAAATGTTTTCTATTATATATATATATATATATATATATATATATATATATATATATATATATAAATATATTATATATATATATATATATATATATATATATTTTATATATATTATATATATATATATATATATATATAATATATATATATATATATATATTTTTCTTTCAACAAGTCGGCCGTCTCCCACCGAGGCAGGGGTGACCCAAAAAGGAAAGAAAATCCCCAAAAAGAAAATACATTCATCATCATTCAACACTTTCACCACACTCCCCACATTATCACTGCTTTTGCAGAGGTGCTCAGAATACAACAGTTTAGAAGCATATACGTATAAAGATACACAACATATCCCTCCAAACTGCCAATATCCCAAACCCCTCCTTTAAAGTGCAGGCATTGTACTTCCCATTTCCAGGACTCAAGTCCGACTATATGAAAATAACCGGTTTCCCTGAATCCCTTCACTAAATATTACCCTGCTCACACTCCAACAG